AAAAGCATCAATTATTCGGCGATCAGACTTCTTTATGGTCCAGCTCTCACTTCCATACATCACTACTGGGAAAACCATCGCTTTAACTATACGGACCTTTGTTGGCAAGGTGATATCTCTGCTTTTTAAGATGTTGTGTGTACACTTACACATATGATCACAGGCCTTCCTCTATATAACAGACTCCTTGTACCTCTGCTAACGCACCTGTCCATCCTCCTCCTAGGGTGGAGTCCTTCATTCCCACGTGCAGTGTCGCTCGGTGACTCACCACAAGCTGCTTGGCTCGCAGCAAGAAATGCGAAGAGTCCTGCAAGAAAGTGTCTCGCTGCCTTTTCCAGCCCTGGTTGCGAGCGTCCTACTTGGCTCATTTCTCTTCCTCGCCAGCTCCCTCCTCCCCCAAAACACGCGCGGGCGGGCCCGCCTGCCATATCCGCGCACCGCGATCCTCAGTATAACAGGTTCCTTCTGAAAAGGCTCCCGGGAGGCGCAAGCAGGCAGGTAGTGGCTGCCCGCCCGCTCCATCTTGCTCCAGGCACTCTAATGAATAAGATCCCCTCCGGGACAGGCGATCGTTAGGAAACGCGTTGAGAAAGGGAAACGTGCAAATGGAATGTGACGATCGCCGCTCCGGTAACTGCTCTCATTTCGGAGCGTTTGGAGAGGCGCCAATCGCGGATCGTGACCCTTCAGAACCTACTCGCTTTATAACGCAGCCTTAAAGTACACGGGACATCCGACAGATCCAGTTGTGCGCATCAGATTCAATACCCAGTGGCAAAAGCCCCCCCCCCCCCGCCACTCCAAATAAATACATCTTTCTTTAGGCTCGGCTGTTAATACGCGCAACCGTGATTGCGATCCACAAAACGCTTAAACCGGAGTAGCCAGGTTGGCAGCCGTGGGATTAGAGAGACCCAGATGGGGAGAGAACAAAAGACCACCAACGCCAGCCCCACCCTCTCAATCGACGCAATCCTCGATCGCCCGTACGATCCCAGAGCGACTGACTACAAATGAGAGCTGCGCTTTCGTAGATACGCTTGACCTCTTCCTGCTTGTGCACAACACAGAATCATTCGGAGTCACTGGGAAGACATTCAAACTGATTTCAACCGCGCTTCCTTCCAAGAAACTCGGCTCTATAGCCTTACAGCCGTCGGATCTTTACTTATTCCGAAGTGACTCTCCTTTCTTTCAAAGAAGACGCTTACAAAGAATGTTCAGGATTGTTTACTGGTGGTTTGGCCGATTTGTGGACAGAAATACAAATGTCATACGCAAAACAGAATTTGCTATTTGATTGCCGCAAATCTTGGGTCTGTTAATCTTATAGAATCATAGAATCATAGAATTATAGAATTATAGAGTTGGAAGAGACCACAAGGGCCATCGAGTCCAACCCCCTGCCAAGCAGGAAACACCATCAGAGCACTCCAGACATATGGTTGTCAAGCCTCTGCTTAAAGACCTCCAAAGAAGGAGACTCCACCACACTCCTTGGCAGCAAATTCCACTGTCGAACAGCTCTTACTGTCAGGAAGTTCTTCCTAATGTTTAGGTGGAATCTTCTTTCTTGTAGTTTGGATCCATTGCTCCGTGTCCGCTTCTCTGGAGCAGCAGAAAACAACCTTTCTCCCTCCTCCATGTGACATCCTTTTATATATCTGAACATGGCTATCATATCACCCCCCAACCTCCTCCTCTTGTTGACGTTTCCCCCTGTATTTTTAATATTCATGTTTACGCAGAACTAAGTGCTCCTGAGTTGAATGGAAAGGACTCCTTAGGGACCGTGTTTAGGATTTCAGCCGAAGTCAATAAACGAATCGGGTCGAAACAAACATGGCTCAGCCTCAGGGCCGTAAAGTTGACGGTTTTGGGCACTGAATGAACCGAAAGATGGTTCCTTCCTAAGAACACAGTCGCTCGAAATAAACACAAACTCACAGGTGCACTTTCTTTTCAACAAAACAATTAGGAAGGGGACACAAGCAAGAAGGACTACTAAAATCAAATTTAAAATATTTAAATCATTTTTTCCAAAACTGCTCCTAAGGAAAATCATCTATATCTATATCTATATCTATATCTATATCTATATCTATATCTATATCTATATCTATATCTATATCTATATCTATATCTATGAGAGGGAGATGGAATAGACACTGTATTAAAATGATTAAATTGGAGTTAGGTAATAATACCTATATATGTAGTGTGCGGGTCCTACATTTAATTTATACGCGGCTCGGTTTTTCAGTCACTTGACAACATAACACTCCTAATTGCTGGTTTTTAATCGGCCACGCTTCTCTCTAGGTATCCCGGGAAAGGGCGGGCGCTCTGGTAGGAACCTCGTTTGGAAGAATTTACACCCGTTGAAGGAATCGAAATAATATAATAAGGAGCGCGCGATGGAAATGATCGATAATGGCTAACAAATCATTTTGATTGGGAGGTTGTCATCTCCAAGACGTTGTGAAGCGCTTCTCTGGTTACATCCTCCACACCCGGCGGGCGGGGGGAGAGCTCAGCTCCCGGTACATCCACCTGGCAGTTAAATGATGTTCTGGACGTGCTCCGACGGATTATCTGCTCGCGTTTCTTTGGGAACATCGGTCAGAATGAGCAGACGAGACTCTGCCGGCTTCGCTGCTTTCAATGCTTTCGCCAACGTCCCATCGCCTTTAATGTCACTTTCCTTTTGGGGGGGGGTCGCGAGAGCCCGACTCCCTAAAGCCGCGCCCTGTCGCATCCTGCCTCTTGGACTGCGCGGCGTTTTGACTACACGCGCGCACTATTTACGCTTTTCCCCTCTCTGTACCCACGCCTTATACGTAAATGTGTGTATGTGTGCGCGTGTGTGGCCGACACTAGAAAACCCACCCCCCACGTCTGTATCGCCTAACCCTTTAATTTCCAATGTGTTTACAGCGATGCCTATAAATACACGCATGCAGACATAAGGCTCAACGCGTGTCTTCTCAGAAATAAGCCCCACTGGTTTCAAAGAGGCTTACCCCCCAAGGTTCTAGATATGTCTATTCGGAAGCAAGCATTGAGTTCGGTAGGGTTTATTCTCAGGTATAAGATTGCTGTCTTAGCCGTCCCTTCCTCCGTCACGTTTCTTGATTTGTTATTAAGTTAAGGCTCCGGTCAGATACACGCTTGAGGATGAATCCCTCTGAAACAAACGGGCCTTACTTCCATGAGGCTATGTTTGGGATCCGACTGCCAAAGGCCAGCCCACACCACCCTGAAACCAATGGCACGTTTTAAGGCGCCGCCTTTAACTGGTGTTATGGATTGCATCCAAAACGAGGCACTTTAAAGCATGAAATAATCTCATCTCCGCTGATAGATGGCAAGGTCGTAAATCAGCACGTCAAACGCTAATGCAACCAATCGTGACGTCTGGGTCTGAGTTTTCTTGACAGGGATTATTATTATTATTATTATTATTATTATTATTATTAAAAAACACGATCAAGCCCTAAAAGGTACAGGGAGGGAGGGAAAGAATACAGGGCAAAAACCATCATTCACAATGAAAAGCACACATGAAACCAGCCCATCAGAAATATGCCCTAATAGAAAAGAAAAGAAACTCGAAGCAAAATCAATACAAACCTCACACTCTGTGTTTGTTGATTCTGTAGGGTAGTCAAAGGCTGCAACCCTATGGACACTTACTTGGAAGTAAGGTCCGTTGAATACCATAGGATTTACTTCTGAGTAGATATATATAGGAGGAGGGTGGAGTGGGGGAAAATCAACTGCGAGAGAATCATCTGGGTCCTGTTTATTCAGAAATGTCCTACTAGGTTCCAAGGTGGGCTTAGTCCCAGCCAGGTAAGCGTGGGTAGAATTGCAGCCCAAAGCTTGTATCTCCATGGCTGTCCACCCTCTTACGCGTGTGTATGTGTGTGTGTGAGAGAGAGAGAGAAGAGAGGGGGAGAGGAGAGAAATCTCCTCGACACAATATGGATTATTAGCTCATATTTCCAGCAATCAGGTTCCAACCTCTTTTTGAACCGGGCGACAAAGTGGAGCTTAAAAGGCCATTTGGCATTTAATTCACCTTGTTTATTGGGCCGCCGTCCATTTAGGAGAATGAATCAGTTCCGTGCAGCTCAGGATGCCCAGACTTGCCATCAGGGGTCAGGATTTTGCTCCAGGCGCCAGAGCTCAATTTACCCGCTGTTTCTTGCCCAGTTGGTTTTTCCCAAACAGCCCAGAATGCTCCCGATGCCCTTCTAGGCGAATTCCTTTCTTCAGGAAGTCTGACTGAACCCTTCTTTTAGAGGAGCTCCTTCCGTTAAGTGGCATAACACCGCAACCCTATACATGTCTGCTCAGAAGTAAGCCTCTCCATTTTCAATGTAGCTTACTCCAACGTAAGCAAGTAGGGCCGTAGTAGAGTAAATCCGGTTTGCCTCCAGATTTGCGCTCTGGAAGTCCCTACTAGGATTTTAAACGTGAAAGAAAGAAGGATCGGGACCTCATTTATGGACCTGGGTATGTTTAGTGATGGTATAATAATAAAAAAGAAGAAACTATTTTTCCCTTGCTGGCTAAAAAAAATGGATGAGGACGTCTAAAAGAAGCGACTGTACAATTCTGAGATGGCTTTTACTCTCAGTCATAAGGAAATCTGTAATTTACACTACGCCAAAAATGTGTATCTTTAATTCAAGAACCTGTTGTCACCACCACAAGCCATCGCTACATGATCTCATAAAACAAAACCAGCTAGTAGTATCTTTTCAGCCAAGAAGCTATGAGTGATCTGCACCGAATAGACAGAGCTCCCCTCTCTACCCTCTTTCAGCGCAGGAATTACTGCTTGTTTGTTCCAAACGTCAGACATTGCTCCTCAGCGCAAGACAATAAATACTAAAAACCGGCCAGGTTTCTCACCAGATTCCAAAAGCACAAAGAGACGGAGGGTGGGGGTGGGGGCGCCTGTGACTTTAACCTAGAATCATTTTACATTATAACACCCGAAGGTAGCTGTTACCTGTTTTAATGGCATATTTTAGCGCGATCCTGCAGTTCGACAGAATTTCTTCCAAAGTCTGGGGTTGATCTGCCAAATCCCAATTATATTCCTGAAGTAGCTCGTTTGGGTAATGGAAATCAATAACTTTGGTTGATCTGTCGAAATTTGTCACCAAGTACTGGAGCAAAATGTCCATAACATCTTGTAGGAAAGACAAAGTAGCTAATTCTCCGTCCGAGGCTGGCAGAAGATCTGGAAGGATGGAAAGAGGTGAGATACGACATTGATTTCATTGTTAGGTTTTGGACACTTTTTCTACTTACGGTGGACCATCGAAATTGGTCTCTTTTATGTTAAATATTATTCAGAGGTACAGACGACTACAAAAACCACTGAAGCTTTATTTTACAAATGTTCATTTCCTGATAATATAAATACTGTACTTTTATGTCTCTGTTAGTAAACAAAACCCCGTACTTAGAAGTTGATTTATTACTTGAAAATGGGTCCGTTAAAGATCTCATTGCTCCTACTCATGTTTCTACTTGTACTGGATATTTGAGGGGGTTTTTTAACAACAAAATAAAATAAAAATAAGAGTCATCTACCAAAAAGCAGATTAAATGAAAAAGAAAAATTCAGAAATCAAGGTGCAATTGCCTCACTTTCAAAATAGTAAACATCTTTGTATTTCGTGCATGCCATGTTTTGTAATGAGTTCCCACCACTAATTTCTCCTTAATTCTGACATTTATGTCGTCAATTATCAATATGCCTCACCCCGCCGTTAAGGCTTAAATTGTTCTTAGTCGCTGTCCCTCCAAGTGGTGCTGAAACCACCATAAGGTAGTTAGGAAAAGAATCTACGGTATCAGTCTCCAATATTTTCAGGCGCTGACTAATTGAGAATGTCGAACCAGCGTCTGTGATTCCGAGGAAGGCCATTTATCGGTTTAATTCATTGCCACTCGGCGTAGAAGGTTTCGGAGGGATTTGATGAAGCAGAAAGATTCATATCCTGTCAATAAGCTTTTTGGCAAGAGTTTCCAGAATTAACAACCTGATTCCAACTGCTGGATTTCCCTCTCGCCGCACACCCATTCACACATCACCACCGAACACGCGCTTTAAAGTGGGATAACGACATTTATTGCCTTTAGAACCTAGAATGCGAACGATAATCAATTGTGTCCTGGTATACACACACACGTATTTATGCATTGCTCAGCCTCTGCCTAATCGAAATCCTCTTGGCAAGAGGAAGCCAGGGTGGTCGCACAGAGATGTTTACCAAGCCTCTGTCAATGGCAAAGTTCCCATTGGATTTAATGAACCAGGATTATAATGCTTCCCACCAAAAGGCTTCCTCCTTTGGAACATATACCAGCTGATGAGTGGCTTCCAAAGCATCCATTCCGGCTGACCCCATTCTGACACCCCCCCACCCCAGTTAGGAGATGGTTACCTGATGCGTGTAAAAACGCATAATTGACATCCTCTTTCTGGCAACCGCAGGGCTTTTTATTGCAGGTGCAAGGGGCCTTCCTGGCGGCCGAGCTCGGGTCCTCCTTAGCAGCCCCCGTTTCCATGGGCTTCTCCCCATCTCCGTACAGCAAAGCTAACAAAGACACAAAGGGCGAAGCCTAAATGGCACAGCGGAGACTCAAAAGCACGGAGTGGGGGACCCAGTACGGTTCGTTCAAGGCGGCTCCATAGACCCATCACCGAGTCTTCAACTTACTCTGGGAAGTCCTCCTCGGATCCTTTGGAAAAGGGAGGGTGCGCGCGCGGGGTGGGGTGGGAGAGGGAATGTATTTTTGTTTTGTTTTGTTTTGTTTCCTATGTAAAACGTCTCCTCCCCCGCCCTATTTTATTAAAGCGTCTTCCTGCGATTTGGTTCCCCCATTTCCTTCTCATCGCTTACCACAGAGTTTGGTTGAAATGCCTCCTGTAAACTTCTGGGCAGCTTGACACCAAGCTTTTGCTGAGGGGGGAGAAACAAGAATATAGGATCAGACGGGTCGTTTCGTGTGGGTTCGATGAGGAAGATGGCCCCCCACGCAAGCACACATAACAGGGTCACTGCAGACCAGACACGATGCTTCCCCCTCGCCGGGGGTTTGCTTAGGATTTAGCGCATGGTATATGGGTTATGTTATGGGTAATGTAAGGGCTGCAATCCTGCACATACTTAGACGGGAGAAAGCCCCAATGAAATCAGAGGGTCCTTACTTCTGAGTAAGAAGATGCTTAGGATTGAGCTGCGCACGTATTGCTAGCTGCCCCCAAGCCCTACATATGGGAAGAGGCGCGTTAGAATGAAGCAAGCGGACAAATGCGCGTAAGCAGTCTTGGCGATGCAAGCATATGGATCCTTCAGCAATCCAGGACACTTTCTAAGCGAAAAGCGCTCCCGTCCCCTCTCAGCGACGCAACCTGTGTCCACCCTTCTGCCCACCCCGCTCCTTCCCTTTATTGAGGGCCAGTTGTGTCTGGGTGAGTCCCAGCCGGGTAGCAGCATCCTGAGAGATATTCCACTGAGCTGCTTTTCTCCGAGCCGGCCAGGGGCGCTCCGGGTCCCTCGCTGCGCGCAGGTGAGGCGGCCCGCTGCGTCTTCTTTAAGTCCTGGTATTTTGGCCCCTCCAAATGAATCCCTTCTTAGAGGGGCGCCTTCTCCAGGCAGGCACGGGCGGCCCCCTCGATCTTCTCAAGGCGGCCAAAGGCACGAACGATTATAAAACCAGACGACGGTGGCAGCGGTGGGGGATGGAAAAAAAAGTCAGGTCAGGGTCAAGCCAAGCCTTCCAGGATCTGGGCTGGCAACTTTGCGCAGGAGGCAGGCGCTGAAAGATGCGTCGTGGTCTTCCTGGGGGGGGGGGTTGACTGAGTGAGTGAGTGGGGGCTCCTACCTGGACCGGGGTTCTCAGGGTCTCCAGATCCATCTTCAGACCCGAAGGACCAAAAACCCGCGCCGGGAGTTGCCATCTGCGGAGCTTGCGAGGAGCCGGTGAAGTGCAGCGAGCGCGCCTGGGCTGTGTGTGCGAAAGACAGAGAGACGCGGGGAGGGCGGGGGAGGGAGGGAGCGTGTGTGTGTGTGTGTGAATGAGCGTGTGGCGGGGTTGTGGCTGGGCGAGAGGGCCGGGCAAGGCGGGTGGCGATGGCGGCGACGACGGCGCCGGGAGAAGCAGCTGAGCGTGGCGCTCTGGCTGTGCGCTCCAGACAGACACCGGCGCTGGCTGGCTGGCTGGCTGGCTGGCTGGGTGGGCGGGAGACGAGCGAGCGGCTGCGCTAGGTGCTCTCCATGGTGCTGATCCGCTCGCCCTTCGCTTTCACAGCCAAGCGGACAGAGGAGGCGGGCAGGCGGCGGGGTGCATTTATTTGCGCTCCGCCAGATGATCGCCTCTTTAGCCCCGGGACTTGTGGCGCGGATGGCGAAGGGACGCGCTGCCTGTGCGTCTGATCACGACTCCCTTCCAGGCGGCGGAAAGGGCAGCGCTGGCCGACTCGGGCTCTGGCGACAAACGCGCTGACCCCTCGCGGAAAGAACTGCCTCGCAGGGACAGCGCAGAGGTGTGGGAGACGTGGTGGCCGAGGACTCCGGCTCGTGCGCTCAGACAGGGAATTCAGACATTCGGAAGGGAAGACATTCGAGATGGTGCTTCAGGATCAGCCTCGAAAAGTGAGAGGGATCCTCTGATCGCGTTCGGATTTCAGGCTGCTCTGTCTGGAAGTGACCTTGCCTATTGGGGAACACACATTGGATTCCACCCTGCCTGCCGCAGCAGTGTAGATGCCACAACGGACTAGCATCTGATGAAGTGGGCTTGAGTCGCAAAAGCTGATGCCGTAATGGATTTGTCAGTCTTTAAGGTGTGCACAAGACTCTGTTGTTTTTGCTGCAACCTGCTGCTCCTCTGGAAATGGATTCTTCAAGTCTTCTGCGTCATCGTGATGGGGATGGAGACTGTGGCAGAGCCGTCTCCCAACAAAAGGAGGTGCCAGGGAACAAACTCACTCACACATCACATATGCCCCAGTTATTAAAGATTCCGTGGTGAACCATAACCTTTAGAGTGTCACCACTAGTCTCTGCCTGCAAATACTCAGCAACCCACCAGAACAATCCACAAAGCAGGGACAGCTAGGAAGAAGCTAGGGGAGGTGTAAGTAGCAGTCATATTTGAGCAGCCTTTGGGCTGTGACTCTCCTACCACAGACCTTTGGGGACAATGAGTAAAGCAACTCTCTGAACATTTCTGGTTCCTGAAATGTTTAACACCATCCCACCACAGCTGTGCCCAGCTAGAGAGAAACTGAGAAAAGTCAGCTTGCACTGGAAGCAAAAAGTTGGATGGTTCAAACCTGGTTGGAACACATCCTTGATCTGTGATACTGCCTGGGTGTGCATCAACCTCTGACTTTTGCATGGCTGGAATGCAGCCTACTGTACAGATATGAGAGTCACATCTTTTGTGTCCTCCACTTCTGCCTCTAGCCCCTGCTACTCTTTGCTACTGGGTCCCCAGGAAGCTGCAGGTTCAGGGAATGTGCCCTCAGGCTGAAAAAGGTTCCCCAACCCTGGTTCAAAACAACACCCATATGGCTGGTTGTACCATGTAAGACTAGCTCTTAGGTCCCCATCTCCTAAACCATGGCTAGACCCCTGGTTCACCTTCCCTTTCTCTCTCTGTCCCCTCTTACCATGGTGACTGCTCCTGAGCTCCTTCAGCCCCAACATCTTGTCTGGCAGATGGGCAAAAGTGCACTGAACTACTAAGGCTTCCCATGAATTATATTCATTTTCTTCAATTCCACGTCAGGTTCTGGTACCCCTGTAACCTTTACAGATGAGCTGGAACTGAATACACCCCAAATAATGGGAGGAAAAAATGTGGTACTATGGACATTCCAGAGCAGGAATGGCTAACCTGTGGCCCTGCAGATGTTGCTGGAATACAGCGCCCATCAGCTCTGCCACCATGGCCAATGGCCATGGATGATGAGAGCTGTAACCCAATGACATCTGTTAGGCCACACCTGCTCTAGAAAAATGTGGAAGTATGTGAAAAGAGAAACAAAAGGCACAATACATCTTAGCTCCATTGGGCTTTGTTTCTGGACCACTGGGCTTTGTTACTGAAAGATGCCCCACTGGTGGGTTGTTGGATCACAGAATTCAGAGAGAGCTGATGAATCTTGCTGGCAGTGGAAGTTGGGAGCCTTATGGCACAAGGCCCCAGAGAGTGGGGTCAGGACTGTGCATTTGTATGGGCACTGTGAAATCAACAGTAGGACCATAACACAGATATAGTCAAGTGTGCTCTCCATATAGTCTAGCACTGCTGAGGCCTCTTTGTAAGAAAGAGAATGAGAAAGAGAGAAATGGAGAACCTTTCTTTCTTGCCTCCTGCCTGCCCTTATTCTCCCAAAGTAGCTTTTGGCTCAGCATGTCACTAAACAGGTGGTACGAAGAGGGACCTCAGCTGGCTGACTGAAGAACACATTTGTGAGTTAATGAACTGCAGAGACAAATGTATTAGTCTCTCCAGCAAGATATGCTGGAGGCATTAAGGACCATCTCTGGGGTGACTGCAAGCCAGCGAAGTACACATGGCAAACACACCAGGTCCCTGTTTCAGGGTATCAGTTTCCAAAACATATACATTTATTTTGGGCTCTTGTTTTGAGCTGGAAATAGGAGTCACTGTGGAATCGGGGGGGGGGGATGTGTTTGACAATGCCCTGTAATGTTCTGCAAAACTTGTGAATATAGAAAGCATGAGCACATTCCCTCAAAATCAAGGGCCTCTTGAAGCTATTGCTCAGTTCTCCAATTTAACAGTAAGACTAATCAGCAGCCTCAAAGCAGAGGGTCCTTTCATTTATGAAACATGCCAGGTTCATGGAGATTGGCAGTGCAATACAACAGATGATTTCAGGAGCTGCAAAAAGTTAAGAATGCACATGAAACAAGGGTGCAGGCTCCAGACAGTGTGGATGCTAACATGCTGTTGGTTGAGTTATCTGAATTGAAGTTAGGGGACAACGCTCCCCCCCATGGAGACACCTCTTGGGGAAGGCAGATATTAAAGCTGCCAGCAGCCTCTCTTCCTTTGTTCTCTGAATTCTTCTTCTTCTTCTTTCTTTGGTGATCACTCTTAGCCGAGTAAGATTGTCTTCCATAAACACGGTTTTAACAATGAGTCTGTAAGTGACTGTGGAGGCCAATTCTGGACCCACAAGTCCTTCCACAGTGGGGAAAATGGTTCCCGGGTGGGAACTGATCATGGTGTGGATTTGCCAAGCGTGCCTTCCTCTTAGCATGTTTCTCCCTTGCGTCCTGAGTTTGAGTGTCTTCAAAGCCCATGACACCTTTGGTAAAGGCTGTTCTCCAACTGGAGCGCTCGCAGGCCACTGTTTCCCAGTTGTCGGTGTTTATACTACATTTTTGAGACAGTCTTTAAACCTCTTTTATTGACCACCAGCATTACGCTTTCCATTTTTAAGTTCAGAATAGAGTAGTTGCTTTGGAAGACGATAATCAGGCATCCACACAACATGACCAGTCCAACAAAGCTGATGTTGAAGAATCATTGCTTCAACAATGGTGATCTTTGCTTCATCCAGTACACTGATATTAGTTTGCCTGTCTTCCCAAGTGATATGTAAGATTTTTTAGAGACACCATTGATGGAATCTTTCGAGAAGTTGGAGATGGTGTTTGTAAGTGGTCCATGTTTCACAAGCATACAGTAAGGATGGTAGTACAATAGCTTTGTAAACAAGCATTTTGGTTTCCCTGCAAATGTCCCGGTCCTCAAACACTCTGCACTTCAATCGGGAGAAAGCCACACTTGCAGAGCTCAGGCAATGCTGGATTTGCAGGGCATCAATAGCACACATTCCACCTTCCTGTATCCTGAAGCTAGTGTAAGTCTTGTGTTCAGTGAAGCAGGCAGTCTTTTGGTTTCCTTTTAAAACTGCCTGGACGGGGAAACAAGACTCGTGTTTATGAAAGGGCAGGTCTGGCTTGAGTTTGTTTCAAGCTTCCAGTTGACAAGCACATAAAAGTAAAAGAGGAACATGGGCTTCAGTGCAAGAGAATCTTGTACATTCTCCTCCCCCAATAGATTTATCTTTCACTGGAAGTAAACCAAACGTTGCTTGGACTGAGGTTCCCACTTTAAACGGTCATTTTTATATTTGTGTTTATTTAGCAATTCTAAAAAAAATACTAATGGGCATGACTGAACTAGTCATACAGGAATAAAAGACATCAATACAAACATAAAAAACTTTAAATAAAACATATTCCGACTTCCAGTATGCAAGGTGCACTCATTGCCACAGCAGTCCTGCAATGTAGGCCAGCCTTTGGCAACCTAGCATCCTCCATCACATGCTGGCAGGGGCTGATAGGAGTCAAAGTCCAAAACATCTGGAGGGGGCCAGACTGGCCAAGGCTGATCTAGGTCATTAATATTCCCCAGTTGACAGATAGGGAACAGGAGCAAAGGGAGATTGTAGCTTTCCAAAAGTCATCTCCTGAGTTTGTCTCTGGTTGACTGTGGCTCAGTCGCCCCCTTTGATCTTGCTTCCTCCCCCCTTTTTTGTAGAAGTATGCTAATGAAAGCAGAATCTACATTTTAAAGGGGATATTCAGTTTCAGCAATTGAACACCCCTCCTTCCAGCAACTTTCAAATGTACACTGCAAAAGAAAGAAAAAGCACCCACTCACACGCATACCAATGGAATGGAAAGTGAAGAGCTGCTTTTAAAATGGTTGTGTGTATGCCTAAAGAGTGGTAGAAGGGCTTGCTGGCAGCACACACCTTAAGTAGCTTCTGAGAAAACACCTGGTCTGAAAATGGGAGTCACTGTCTCTTCCCCTCTGTGCAGAGAACCTACCAGTCAATTATAAATCACTGGTGCAGAAACTGGAATGCTAGCAGCATTCAATATTTCCATTTGTTTCAAAATAGGT